GACTTGCGATTCTGAGTTTATTACAGCAGTGAGGCAAACATGCAAAGTGGGGGCAGAATTGTGGTGGGAGAGGTGAGCTGGGTCTGAGCCGGAGAGGAGGGAACACAGTGATCAGAGGAGAAGTTGGAGTCCGGAGTCAGGAGAGTGGGGTCCCCGAGAGTGCCCCCCCCTGCCCCCCAGATCTCCTCACCCACCTCCCTTACATAAATATGCCTGAGGTACGGTGTCTGCATAAGTTTAACCTTTATACATTTTTTCAGTTGTGAACATTATGCTCAAACACGAGGGTCATTAAAAACAGAGGATATATTCAAATTCAATTTTCATGTTCAAAGAAATCGTCAGAATATTTTTATTTTATATTATTTAATTTTATTTTACAGTTGTATCATAAACATTTCCAAAATGAGCTTTTTTAAAATAATTACACTAGTACATGTAATTATGCTATTATCTGAGCATAAATAATGTTTTACAATTTAATTTTATTATTGGAAAGAATTATAACTTATTTAAACCAGTATGAGAACCTTTCACTCTGTTATGTCACAGTCTTATCGCACAGGTGTTTTTGTATAGGGTGTGAGAAGCTTATTCTCACTGTGGGCCTCAGAGCACAGTAATACACAGCAGAGTCTGATAGCTGCACATTCTGCACTGTTAAAGATACAGTCATTGCAGTTTTGTCCAGACTGGCATTAAATCTCTCCTTGTACTCTGGAGCAGTATCAACTTGTCCATAATTCCCTCTCCTCAGCATGTACTTCGGAGCCTCATTGGGATTTTGGATGTACCAGAAGAGGTAGTGGGTGCCGGACGTGCTAGTTTCATAGTTACAGTAAATTGTCACTGATCCTCCTTCAGATGCAAGGACATCTCCAGCAGTCTGATTCACTTTGTCTGCGGCCCTGCACTCTGTGGAAATGAGAGTGGAAGAATTAGGTAACACACCAGGCATCTAAACACAGTATCAATAACTGATGAAAATGATGAATTACCGATAAATGCTGAAAAAATTAGAAAAATCCTCAATGCCTGTTCCATAATTGGGTTGTTAAACTAAAAACACAGATGCATGTACACTATAAATTAGTTAAACAGAATTTCTGGTTGTTGTGTACACTCTCTGTGCCCTAATATGCCTCATCTGGTCGTAAGGAGCAGCTTATATGACAGTGGTGTAACAGGAAATTTGCATGTTTTTGCTGCAATGTTGCCCCCAACAGGCAAAACGTGACACTGCAGCATCACTCTTCCAGAACACCATCTCAATGTTATTACAGATGATGAACACAAATCAAGCTGAAAAAAATGAAAGCTTGAGATAATGTCAGTAACACCATCATAGTCATATACTTCTCTTTCTAAGAAATATTTTTAGTTTTTTTGCCTGTCTGTTATTCCATTGTCTTCTGAGTGTTGTATTGGTTTAAATGCTGTTTGCAGTGAAGTCAAGTAATGGGAACAGAAAACCAAGAGAAGAACTCTGTTCCCCTATTTCCCTATTTAATTTAAGAGTAGATAATACTGCTGCTGTATTACTCCACACATACAGATGAGTATCTCTAAATCTCTCTATTTAAGTACTGGAACCACCACCAATCTAGCCTCATAACCTTATGCATTCATCAGAAATGACCTCCCTCTCAGGAATACACCCCCTCTATAGGCTGCATACATTACATGTCTGTTTCATACATATATACCACATATATACCTTTTTACTTTACAAACCGATTCAGATAATTGTAATTTCCGTTCTGTTACAGGTTCAGATTTTAGCCTTGTGTTCACACTTGCAATAAATCTCTCTTTAAATTCCAGAGCACTGTTTCCATCTCTATGTCGATAGCATTTTACTGTATAATTGTGAGTGATTAGGAGACTGGGTGTACCAGAATAGATAATAGACTGTATATAACTCAGAGTCACATATATACTGTGAGCTACAGGCATGTCTCTTGTCACTAAGATCACAATATCTTCAGCTCTCCCCACACAAACAGGAGTGTCTTATAGTGATATAATTTTTGCATTTAATTAATTTTTTTCCATACCTGGGGCAGCGGGATGATCCAAACGAATATGATAAAAGGAAAGATTATTTCAATATTAATTACAAGTAAAATTTAAATTTTAAATTTGTTGTATGCTGTAAAATGACAATAAAGGCTGTTCTATTCTATACTATTCTATTCTATTCTAAATAACCTAACATTACATGACGGGGAGAGCTGTGCTGGACTCTCTTAGACACCCTCTGAGTCTCCAAGAACATGATGCTTATTCACTCCCCAGCACAAACACTGTCTACATTCAATCATATTCCCATTAATTGCCCTTAACCAGAGCTGACATTCTTTTATCACAGTGGCTGAGCCTTGAGCAAGACCCCTAACCCCTGGGTGGCTGCCCTTTGCAGACAGCTTGCTCTACAAAGAGTAAGTTGAGGGAGGCATACATAAGAATTTCCCCATGGGGATAATAAAGGATCGATAATTATTATTAATTACCAATGACTAGTGATGGGCAGATTAAGCCTCATGAAAACAT